AGAGAGAGAGAGAGAGAGAGAGAGAGAGAGAGAGACATGCACACACCCTTTCAGACTCTACAGGGTTCCGTGAGAGGTATGATCTCAAAGCTTTACATCCGTCTCCGACAAGTGAGGCATTTAAAAAAATAGATTTGACAACCATGGGATCCTGCGACTGGAAAAAAACCCCGGGCCCTCTATAGATAGATCTACCAAAGTGTAAATTGAGAACACTGCAGAAATTTCAGTTGTCGTTCGTTCAGCTATTTAAGGTGGAACTGCTAGAAATGGGCCTTTACTTGGAGGACGTTTGTTAGCAGTACTGTCCACCCCCCCCCCCACACACACACACACACACACACACATACACACACATACACACACACACACACACACACACACACACACACACACACAGACACACCCCTAGAACACCGAAGAACAAAGGAGAGGGCAAGAGGTCACGGCGGTCTAACAGTTACATCAGTGGTTCTCAGAACTGGAAACCACAGCAAACATCAATATTCAGAAGGTCAACACCGGACATCTCAAATTTAATGCTAATGGAGAAAAATGAGAAGGAAAGAAAAGAAAAAGGAAAGAGAAACCGTTGAGCGTACTTAGCTGATTTGAACTAAACACTGTCGAATGTGGGGATAGAACGTAAGGTCGTTTGTAAAAGAAACCTTGACCTCGGTGTAAAATGAAGAGTGTGACCACTTAGTAGCACGGAGATATCATTCTATGAACAGTCAACAATATGATTCTTGGACGTACAGAAAAGTGAGAAGGGTCAACATTCCGTCAACGTTTCGCTTATTTTAATTCGATAACGCCCCTCCCCTTTCAGCCGTAGGCTCTTTGTGCTTTACAGTGTATTATTACTCGTGTGATCCCGACAAGCCTTACACACTACAACGTATTCGCAGCTTCCTGGTTGGCATTCAACACAACCTGCCATTTTACAGGCTCTCTGACATACTGACAAGATCTTTTAGTGTCGTGTGCTTCGTGTTCATTCTCCCCTGATTGAATTTTAAGAAACCATGAACAAAAATATGCCTCGCCAAAGGACGAAACTTTCAATAGAAGCTTCGCTTGTGTGAGTGGAGTACTGCATCTGAGCTGTTTGGTACGCCGTTCTGAAGTCAATGTCTTTGGGTATGGCGAAAAGTCTGTCGCGTAGGTGTCTCCATTAAGACAAGACTTTGTGAGATCGGGTTTCCTTCCAGAAGCCATCTTTATTCATTCTGGAATCGAGCACATAATATTATGTCATAGAGCGCTATTGCACAAGGTGAATATTATGCTCTTGGGTGTATGCGCTGTTTTAAGTGTAGAAGAGGCCGGTCTCGACTGTCTACTAAAGTCGATGATATTTGTTTTCTTTAAAATAATTACGGACGAATTATAGGTTGTTGTTTTTTTCATCAAGAGAATTTATCTGTCCCATGTGACAGCAAACTACACGTGTTGCGTTCATGTATTGTTTTCTGTGTTCCAGGATGCTGATGTTTAGAGATTGAGAAAACAACGACAGCGCTAAGAGTGTTTTGATAATTTGCCTACCATCTCACCATGGTTGGGTTTTTTTTCTCAGTCCACCAAGTATTAGATAGAAAGGAGATGAAGATAGTGTTCTTATTGACATGGTGAAGATAATCACGGCTTTAAAATAGATCTAGTCTCACAACATGTATGGTGACACTTGACATTTGTTGTCCCCCCCCCTCCCCCCTCTTAGATTATTTGTTTTTTTGTTTAGCCGTTTATGTGATACCTCTCAACACGTCGGTACAAAGCAGCGGAAGTGACACTTCCTAGTCAAGAGTAGAGCAGAGGAGAGGAGAGGAGAGGAGAGTAGAGTAGAGTAGAAGACAACAGGGCGTGAGCGGTGATGACAGTGACCTCTATTGTGCTCATCACTTGAGCAGGCAATGTTGGCTGTGCGACTTGTGGCGGGGATCTTCTTCTGTCCCCGTTAGTGAACGATGTAGACCTAGATCTAGTGATCCACGCGAGACATAAAGAGAAAACAAAGCTAAGCAGCGATGAACACGAGACGATAATCAGCATCTTATGTCTTATTTTATTTATTTATTTTTTGTTTGTTTGGATGTAACGACGTACCAAAAGTTACCGAAAGCGAGGAACCCCAAGTAAGGAAAACATAACAGCAGCATTTACACAAAAGCTCAAAAAGGATATTTTAAAACTACAGATCGTCACCTCCCGGCATCAGATGCAATTACGCGTCAGTTTATGCTGAAGAAAAAAAAGTCACGTGGTTGGGACAACAAAAGAGACAACGGCTTTCAAGATGGATTTCCACACTTCGCCATATCGATTCTATTTCATCGTCTTCATTGTGGTGTTTACTATAATTTCTTCTCCTGTATCGAGTCGAGTGTTGATGACGACAGAGTCAGGCACACAAAGTCTGGCGGTCACTTCTGAGCAGCCGGATTACCTGAGGATTGTGGGTCTGGCCTGCACGTCTATATATCTGGAGCCAGGCCTGCAACTTGTCTGCGACAGCTCCATGCCAGCCATGTGGCATTACCGGGGCTTCCGATGGTCTCAGTCAGTTGAGGTAATTGCAACATTGTGGTGACAAGTCTCAGACGTAAGCGAGTTGGGGCGAAATTTATACTGCAGTGAGCAAAAGAAGACTACCCT